CAGACAAGGAAGGAGGGGACAAGAAGAAGAGATAATTCCCCCCCCCCMAAAAAAAAAAAAAAAAWTAGACTTCATGGGGTGCGCCTGACACAGATGCCAATGCAAAYGCAAACAAGAAGGTYGCCAAGCAGCAGTGCAAGATACTGGAAATACTGCTGGTGAAGAAGAACAAGATGATACTGCTKCTGAACACGATGTTGGCTGAGCTCAATAGAGTAATGGAYGATGCTGAAGCAAACAGCATCAACACTGCCAGCAGCATTGACGCCAACAGCAGTGGTACTATTAACAATGGTGAGGAAGATGTTGTTGCCAGCAGTACTAGCTRCWACTAATAACAATGAAAGCACTACTGCAAGAACAAGTCAGSAAGCCAGGCCTTGTAGTGGAGATCCTCCTAAACCTCAACCAGGTGTGGATGTTCCTGATCAGTGGTATCATTACTGGAAATATTCCTTTATGTCATGGATTTTGTACATGGAAGAAGAGATAATCCTYCCACTGAAGATACAAGATTTGCTAGGGACCATGTATTCACTGATRCTGAGTTTGGTGACCTCACTCCTGAACATGTGTATTGTTTCCTTGCTCTACAGGCTTACAAGAAGGAAGATGCGTTTCCTGAYAACAACCCTATGTATGCTAGTAGATCAACTTCTATAGAGAATACAAAGAAGTCTATTTCATTTTTTGTTCCTAACAAGAGTATCAAGTGGACTGTGATTCAAGGAATTGGCCATGGTAACCGAACCCAATCTCCCAAAGTGAATAATTTAATTGCTGCAATCAAGCTGAAGGAAACACAAGGTCTTGRCAAGGAAATGAAGATAGATAGGACTCTCACAAAGGGTGAATTCTTACAAGCACTCAAACTTATGGAGCAACACGGTACTGTGATAAATAGGAGACAGTTTAAAGCAATGATGTTGASCCAGATGCACTTCATGGGTCAAAACAATGACATGGCTCATATAACAAAGGATTCTTTGAAGGCTTGCTCTAGGTTCCCTGAGTTTTTGACTTTGAAGATGAAGTGGTCAAATGTGAGRGAAGACAGAGATTGTCCTGACCAGATCTTGATACTATCAATGAATCAGAACTCATGTACAGTACTTGTGTTAGCATTATTTTTGGAGAAGYGGTGCTATGATGGTCATGGAGCAATCAGTCAGTGGCTTTTTAYGGAAGGGACTACTGATGCAAGATTACCAATGAAAATTATAAAAAAAGAGATTGAATGTGGCAAGAAACAATATTCTGGATTACTAACTAGATATGTTCTTGGTAAGAATGGAGCGTTTCATCAATAAAAGCAAGGCAGGATGGGGAAACACTCTATTAGGAAGTTTTCCATTTCAGTTTGCAGACATGCAGGAATACCCAAGGATGATGTTAGTTACAGAACCAGATGGAAAGGAAACCGCCAGCAACAAGATCACTACACTGATATGCAATTACTCTGGCCTGATATTTCTGTTGCAAGTTGTCTATGTTTTGATGGTGTCTGCCATTATAAACCAGTAGTAGAGGGATCTGGAATATCAGATTAGTGGATTATTGAAAATGTTAATCCTAATATTGCAAGTGCATTCAGCAACAAGGTTGCTGTGATTCTAGGAAAGCCGTTACTGTGGGCATGCTTTGAGGCTTCCTTGGTTGGTGTTGTTCTGGATGCTATCAGAAGGAATGTGATGGCTTCATTTATTCAGCTGAATGAAAGAGTCAGAGCTAATGGTGGTGTTGGTATTGCTGTTGATGATGGTGCAAATCCTATTTGCAAAGCCAAAATGATTGCAAGTGAACCAGGTGGTAAAATAGATTTTGATGAGCTGTTTGAACCAGARATAGAGGAGCAAACTGGAGCTGCTGTTGGGAATGGTCCCTTTGGTGGCAGAAACAATGCAATCAGAAGGAGGAGATCTCACCATCAGCAATGGATGAATGTAATGTATGCAAATATCATTTGTGATCTCCAAGGCAGGATGTCCAATATGGAGARTCTGCTGATTAAAGAATTTGCATTACAAAAGGATAGAAATAAGAGGCTTCAAGCTGCTTGTAACCAAGCTCCCATGGCACTAGTAGCAAGATGGATGGTGAGGCAAAGTCTTGTYAATCCAGGAGAAGCTACTGCTGGTGGTGTTGAAAGACAGAAGCAACAAGMAATTATTGCTTCAATGGACATGTTGGTTTGATGGATTGGTTGGATGTATTGAATCAACAGACGCTTAGCTTGGGTGGATGCATTGCTGGTGGATGCAGCATTGCTGGTGGATGCATTGGTTTAAACACATTGCTGGTGCTGGATGCATTGCTTGGACACAGTGCTGGTGGATCCTCATTGTTGTTGTTGTTGTCATTGTTGTTGTCATTGTTGTTGT